CTCCGTTTCGCAGACCAACGACATCCAACAATGTTAAAGACGTACGTGAATCACCGGATAAGCGCAAACCGAAGCCACACAAGCCGTTTGTACCTGCACAGGAAATTGACGTGCCGTTATGACTGTGCAGTCGCCTGCCAAGCTCAAACGTTTGTCGATCACAGACATCTGGATTGCATCCACACACAGGGCGAACAACTCAAGGCACCCCGCCTGAAATCAGATACAACAGAGGCCTGCGCTCACGGCTGCGCCTGATCTTGCGTTGCCAAGATCCTAGATGATGCGTTGCGGATTCAGCCTCGTTTTGTCCAGGCCCCATAAGCGTTCAACAACGTTTGTCAGCTTGGTGCACCGTCGACCCCTGTCGAACACTGACGCCTCTGCTTCGTCGAAGAACTCTGCTTTGTCGCAGAGCAACGCCCCGCATACATAGCCACCAGCCTGCCGTCGATACTGTTGACTACTTGACACCAAGGGGGCGCTGCTGCTTCCAACCACGTAGTGCGCTGCACACGCAGTGCCTATCGAATTCACGGAGAACAGTTATCCTGTCCAGTCTGTCTCGCAAACGTATTAACCATCGACAGTGCGCACCGCCCCAGCAAACAGCACAGAAGAGCACGCCGAAAGCAAAATGGATTCCCACGTCTTCTCACACGCTTACTCCATGCATCTCAGCGCATGCAGATGCGCACCCTTGACTTCCATCGGAAGCCTTCAAATGTAAACGGAGCCATGCGAGCACCCACCCCACCCAACGGGTTTGCTCCCAATGCATACTGCCTGTGCACAAAACAGACGATGTCGCAAAACCAAAAAAGGCTCCACAGCTTCACTGCCGTACTCCCAAGCAAACTGCACAACGCCACCAACCTCACTCACTCCGATCCGCTTGAGAACCGCCATGTGCTGCCTATATGCGCCTACCAAACAACCGATCTGCCTCCACCCAAGGCGACCCGCTGAAACGCAACCGTAGTGTCAACTTCAAAACGATGCTGCCGCCTGCAGCGGAACGCATGTGGGAGCGTCTCCTTTTCGCAGACCAACGACAGCCAACAATGTCGTCGGTCTGCGAAAAGGAGACGCTTCCAGTGACATGCAATAATGTTAAAGACGTACGGGAATCACCGGCTAATCGCAAACCGAAGCCATGCAACCCGTTTGTACCTGCACAGGAAATTGACTTGCCGTTATGGCTGTGCAGTCGCCTGCCAAACTCGAACGATTGTCGATCACAGACATCTGGATTGCATCCACACCCAGCGCGAACAACTCAAGGCACCCCGCCTGAAATCAGAAACAACAGAGGCCTGCGCTCAAGCCTGCGCCTGATCTTGCGTGCAGTGCGGATTCACGTTTGTTTTGTCCAGGCCCGATACGCGTTCAACAACGTTTGTGGGCTTG